GATCAGACTGACAGACTACTATTTTATTTTAACGTTTCAAACATACCTGTTTATGGTTAAGTTGGAATTAATGATTCTGAATTATTTATTTCGCGCACTCTGCGCTCATGAGGAAGAACCCCTCTGTGGTTCGAAACTAGTAGAGCTTTTCTCAATTTACACACGTGAGTATCCCGCGATTTTTAGTTAATTTAGTATGTCTCACGATAGTTATTATAAAAACATAATGAATTTGACATTGTAAAATTGTATTCAGAACTATCAAAAAGCCCATAAATACTAGAACAAAAATATTCTGCGAAATCGCCCAACAAAACAGTAAAAATTTTGGCAGAAAAAATTGAAAGGTAACTATAGAAATCTTGACAGCTTCCGGGGGTTTTTGGGGATGTCATGTGTATGTATCATGCATTAAAAATCGATTCCGATGTTATACCAATCTCTTTTTCAAATTAAAATGGAAGACATTACATAAACGCTGCATTCTTTTTATGGCATCATCCTATCATCTCATGGGGTATATAGCAGTTTGCTGGGAAACGTGGAGACGGATTATCTGATGGTAAGCAATCTGCATCGCCAATAGAAAGTCTCAAAACTAGAGCAGTTATAAGTTCCCTACTCCTCAAATAATATCTTCTGATTTATTTCGTTGCGGGATCCTAGACAGTCATTCATGTCCTTGAGACCCGGACTTCAGAGTTTCGGTGTTTTCATAGTTGTATCTACTGTAGATCCTGGTGTACAGGAGTTGCAGCGGTTTTGGGAGACAGTGGCGCGCTTGTCCGAGAAAAAAGACCTTTAAAATCTTTATCGGGGTTTTAGAAAAGAGTATTTAGAAAGGGAGAAATGATCTCCTCGCGTTGTTTTCTTTCGCCGTATGTCAGTGGTGTCTAAATAATCATAGAAAGTAACTTGGAAAAAGTCACATTGGTACTTGCCAGGGCTCATACCACGGCGAGGTACATAACACAAAACTGCTATATCCCCCAACGATAGGTTGATAGCATCCAAACTAAGTAGTGTCGTGTCGGAACGAAAAATACAATACCACCTCTTTATGAAGTCGGTTAACAAATTTTATTTAAATAATTTGAACAACGGTCAACGAAATTGCATCTAAGTTCCAGTTCCTCTGTGAGATTATTTTTCCAAAATTCAACTTCTATGTCTTTATATATAAAAATGGACCGCGAAATGTGTCGGTAAGCGCATAACTCAATAACGTCTGGACCAATTTTGCTAATTCTTTTTTTGTTATGTTTGTTATTGTCAGGAGAAGGTTCTTATCAAAGAAAATATTAGAAAAGTAGAGGGGAAGATTAGGAAAAAGTGACCCTTTGATAGCGAGATAGTTGGACCCATGCGAAGCGGGGGCGGGCCGCTAGTATTTATATAAAAATCAATGCCACTTTTCCTTGTAATGTTATAACTCAACAATGCCTTTACCGATTTGGTTAATTTTGGTCTTGAATTATTCGTGGAAGTCCAGAGAAGGTTTGTACATGAGAAAGTACAGAAAAAATAACTTGAAAGTCAAGAATCAACATCCACGCCGGTGGAGCCGCGTACTGTAATGCATAGATGTATTTATACTAATATAATAAAGAGGTACAATTATTAAGTTTGTATGTAGGGGGTAATCTTTGGAACCGCTGGTCGGATTGCCAAAATTCTTTTACTGATAGATAGCTACAATGTTCCTGAGTGCTATAGGCTATGAAACATAACGTTACGATTAAATGAAGCCAAGCAGAGGGTGAAACCGCGCCGGAGTAGCTAGTATATTATATAATTGAGTCTCATCTAAAGAATGAGTCATCATTTTTTCAACAATTTTAATAATTGAGCGAAGTAATCAACGCTCAAACCTTTTCCGTGTGAGAAGAGGCCTTTGCTCAGCAGTGTGCACTTATAGGCTGATGATGAATTTTGAAATTTGATCATCACAGAGGAACGTATTCGAGCTAAATTGAATTTTAATGCTACAGTAATAAAGTTATTATTGCACAAGCAGAACCATTTTTTGTTACCGTCCGACTAGGCAAAGTGGTTGTATATATCTTAATAGACGTTATTTTCTAAAGGGATAAGCAGTTAAATATTAGTTTTATGGCGTTGGTATTAAAACTAATTACAATGCTAAGCCTAGCCTGCTGTTTCGATTCCCGCACGGAACAACTTTTTGTGTGATCAACAAATTGTTGTTCCGTGAGTCTGTGTGTGATGTGTATGTGACATTGTATGTTTGTAAACGCACCTACGACACAGGAGAAAATCCTAGTGTAGGGCAACGTTATTATATGAAAAATAAAAGTATATAAATTGACATAATCAGTTAAGATTTGACACGACTGTATCATAATTGGATGCGATTTATTTTATGTTAATGATCAATTTAAGAGTCAAACTAAAGACCCTGCGCTCGGCAGTAAACCTAAAATAATCACAAGGCTAGTAATAAAACCGTAACACTTTAGATATTGGCTACGATGAAACATTAAAACAACATTAAGACTATTTGAAACAATGAAACAATGAATTTATTTTTGCAAATCTATACTATTATTATAAAGAGGTAAAATTTGTAAGTTTGTAAGTTTGTATGTAGGGGGTAATCTTTGGAACCGCTGGTCGGATTGCCAAAATTCTTTCAATGATAGACAGCTACAATGTTCCTGAGTGCTATAGGCTATAAAACATCACGCTACGATCAAGTGGAGCTGAGCAGCGGGCGAAACCGCGCGAGAGTAGCTAGTAGGCCATAAAACAGCACTTTTACACGTCAATTTATATCTATGTGAAAAACTAGATGAAGCCGGCATTTCCTATCTGACTACTCTGAGAAGAAATTCCGAAACAAACTCAGAGATTTAAAATCTAATTAACTATAAACAACCACTTTGCCAGTCCCTTCTCTATTCGAAAAACAATCAATGCATTGTTAAGTGCCACAGGAAGCGGATTAAAGCAAGAATTTAAAAAAAAGGTTAGTCAGATAATAAACATACTTAATGTTACAAATTACTTGCACAAATAAACGAATCTTGTACCCTGGGAAGTCTTTAAAGAAGCACTTACGGCTGTTGTTGTAATAATAATACTTATCTCGGATCGTAAAACGAAGTCAAGATCCCCGACAACTACAACGAAATCGATTTTGGATCCAAAAATACAGTTCGCATGTTAAATAGAAAAAAGGACTAACTCAAAAATGAAGATATTCCAAAATTGAACCTTATTATTGAAGCATAATTTTTAAGATTGAAATACTTTATTTTTTGAGTTACGCCTCTTTTCTGTTAGCAAACGAGTTTTGTATAAAAGATATCACCAATTTCAAATCTTGCGCACGTTGCGTTCCAAATTCAAAAACTTCCGACTCCCAGAGCACAAAAATACTCAACCAACGTCTCAAACTTACTAACAAAATACAGTACAAGAAAAAAAAACAGAAGAAAAAAATTAAACAAAGAAAAATTTAAACCATACCTTACGTTTTCTATCTTAATGACGTCACACATACGCACACACACTAATAATCACCTAACACTATAGTTATATACAGGCACCGTTGCCGATAAACGAGCGACAAAACGGACATACTATATATTTTATTATGTATAAGTTGTGGTTAGAGGGGTACTCTGCCACGGGGTAACTAAATTTATTTAAAAACACCATTTATAAACGAAACTAAGATATTCGCTTTTCGACACACCCTGTATACTGCATTGAATGAAACGAGAACACTCTATAGATGTTGTATGGAAAAACAACACCCTGTATAGTGACAAGGTTAAAAAGCAAACATCATGTATAACAGAAGTGGGGTAGGCAGGGGTATGTTTTTATGTTATAAGCCCCATGTTATTAATTCTGTCCATAAAAACACAATAATCCTTTGCCCAACCATTGAAAAATATGAGCGAAAAATATCTTAATTTCGCCTACGAAATAGCATTTTCAATTATACTTTTAAAACCATATTCAAAATCTTGACGATTACTATTTTTTGTTTAAGACTTCACTGCGTAAAAACGACACATCCATTATAATTATATTATCAAAAAAATCAAGAAAACAACTTTTGAATCTCCGTCTTGATAAAAAATGGGTCTTATACACCAATTAAATTTTAATTCCCGTGTATACATAAAAAAACTAAATTTCGGGCCATTAAAACTAAAAAAATAAATCCAATCAACTAGGACTACGACTTTTCGCTCGCCAGATGGCGGTAGCGTAGCTTTAAGTCCGGTCAATCAGATAGGCAATTTCTTAATGTCTAAAAAAATTCTGTGATTGACAACAGCGTAAACGTGGATGCTTCAAGGTTGGCAAACGAGCAGTCGGATTACCTGATGGTTAGCAATCGGCGCCGTTCGTGGACATTGGAAAAGTTACTACAAATGCATTGCTGTCCTTTTGTGGCTTAGAGATGGGGAAAAATTGGGCCTTCGGTAACCTGAATCACAAACAACGAAACATAAAGCTGTGGTTATTTCACGCCGATTTTCTGCTATACCGTAATATCCCTCCCTAAATCACCAAATCCCTAATCCCCAAAAGTTCAGCACCACAATCATAACTCCTTTTTTGCTACGAAAGCCCAAGGGCGGCGCTGATTGCTTACCCAGGTAAACCGTCAATAAACCTCAAATTTTGACTCTAACTGCTTTTGTTTGGTCACCATCACGCCTGGTGCTAAGCGATGATGCGACTGACGATGGAGCACGGCTACCCATAAGCAACTTTACACTCGGGCCTTGAAAACATCCAAAAACAAACTTCGCCAATTTTGTAGCATCCACTTATATAGCTATTTGACGAGCAAAATATCAATAGCCCTTTTTTACAAAGGAAATTTTTCGAATTGTAATTAACAAATATTCGTTTAAGTAATGTAATGTAATGTTATGTTATAGAAGGCGTTGTAATACGATTTGTAAGACGGAGATACTGTTATTGTTATGTGTTGATGTGTCGTCTGGTGTAAGTCACTCGGTATTGCTAAAGTACTCCGAGGCGTTGCCCCTGCATATGGGACAGGTCCGGTTCGACTGAAAGAAAATAACATTTTATTATTATTTAATAATAATATTAATTTATAACAGTATACATCAAATATCCTGATAATAATATGCTTGGGAATAGAACCAGAGTCCTCTTGCTTAGCGAGTTTTCAGAGTTGAGAGTTAAATTTGTGACTTTCCAACTAACGAGGTAGATTCATCTTAAGGGAATCGAACCCAAAACTTCCCAATAATGGAAACAGAACGACTAAACCACAGAAAACAAGTCACAATAATAAAAAACCTATCTGCCTTAAAACTACACGAGCGACATCTGCGACTCGCAAAAAGTGTTTTGGAACTAAAATGGATCAAAATTAGCTGACTTACCCTGAGCCACTTATCGACGCATTTGGCGTGGAATTCGTGAGCGCACGGTAGTACACGGAGCAACTGCCGGGCTTCGAACTCGCACATACAAACTACACAGCTAGTCTGCTCGCCACGATGCGTCGCCGCGGCGAACTTGTAGCTGGGTAGGGCTTCGATTTCGTGGCGAGCTAGGCCTCGGGGCTTCGCCTCGCCTAGACGCTCCGCTAATGATAGCAGGGCTTCGTAGTTTTCAGGTTCTGTTGATTCTGCGCCTTCTTCGCCGCCGGCGCCCCTTGCTTCCGCGTAGGGGGATAGAGGGAACATGGCCAGGAGGTTTAAGAACACCTGTGGATTTATTTTAATGTATTATGTTTGTTGCGTATGTGAAGGATTTTTGGAAAGCGTAGCGGAAGGAATGATGTCAGTCCAAAATAAATTGTATTATTCACTTACAAATCGTTTATAATATCGAAAAAAGATAAAAGATTCGTTAAAAGTGTAGTGGTGATTATGGAATTGTATTTTGAAGATTATGGATGGCATTGTAAAGTAATGGTTATGAATAAGCAATAATTTAAAATTGAGGTAGTGATTATGTATTTAAGAATGTCATTAAGTTAACATAAATGAAATAATGATTATTGTGGTTATTATGTAGAAGTGAAGTGGTGATTGTGTAGAAGTGAAGTGGTGATTATGACAACGTGCTGTGGTGATAATATAATATTATTTTAAAAGATCATCTTACCTGGTAAGTGGGGGGTGGTGGGGGCAGAGATAGTGGTTGCGCGACATGTAGCTGCGCCTGTACGTGGGCGGGGAGTGCCGCGCCAACCAGCCCGCCGCCGCCCTGTTGCACACGGAACAAAATTCTCTTAATTAATCTTTCCTCCTAACTTGATTTTACAGGACATTTTATTAGAGAATACACGTGTTTATTAAGAAATAAAATGTCATATTTAAATTCGATTATTAATGAGTCATGCAATTGTTACTTGACATGCTTTACCATATTTGAATTTTGTTACACTGATTACAGACTGACACACAACGAGTCTTGCATTTCCCCTCTCACTCAGGTCGGAAAAACATCATCACAATCCCTCAAATTGGAAATTTTGATTGCTTACCATCAGGCGATCTGTCTTCTTATTCACCACTTTGAATTGCAAATCTGACTCTCCACCTCGCTCCATATCCCGGTGGTCATTGGATGATTCCTCCCCCTCCGCTAAAAAACCCTCCTATGTATTGATGACCGGTCCTACCTGCGTGTGTATGTGATGCAGGGGATGGTGCGGCCAACGCGCGGCGTGACGAACGTAGGGCCGCGCTCGAGACCCTCCTCCTACCACTCCAACACCAACTCCGCCTCCCACATTCACTCCCACACCTCCTCCACTGCGACGCTGCGTTAAAATAATTGATACATAGAATCGTAGGACGTTAACAATTCCCATTAGGAAACACTTCACTAGATCCATGCTTGATTCTCAACAATAGCATCAAGTGCTATATGCTAGATAGCGTCAATAGCATCAAGCGCTATTGGTACTATCGTTCTGCGAGATTGTAACTAACCGCACAGTTGGTACGGTGGCTGGGCAACTGGCTGCCGTGCAAAATGGGGTTCAAATAACCATAGAAAGTCAGTGGTGTCTTAATAATCGTAGGCAATACATATAACTCGGCAAAAGTCACATTGGTACTTGTAAGGTTTCGAACCCTCATTCACGAGGAGCGAGTGCCTTGCTCTGGGCTACCACAACGTTACGGACCAAATATAGCGGTTGTAAATCCCTACAAAAATGTTTGTTAGGTACGTTTTTTTTATGTAAACGATCGGCAAACGAGCATACGGATTACCTGATGGTAAGCAATCAGCGCCGCCCATGGACACTCGCAACGGAGTAGTTACGAGTGCGTTGCCGACCTTTTAGGGACTAGGGATTTGGAGATTTAGGGATTGGGGAGAGGAAGGATTGGGCCTCCGGTAACCTCAAAACGTATTGTTGTAACGTATCAGTATTTTTTCTGACAAAGTTTAATGTTAGATCGATACACTTAAAAACTTACGTGGTGATGATGGGAGAGGGCGTGCCTAGCGTGGTGAGGCGCCATCAGCTCTATGGGAGCTCCTCGCGCCTGTTAACATAAACGTACATTGAATTTGGTAGTCCCATCAGACGGAAAGAAAAAGCCATCAGCTGGGGTTGTGGGCAATAAGGCAAGTACAATAAAGAACCGCGGGCTTAGCCTGCAGCAGGAAAAGGAACGAAGTGGTTTTTAGTCAGTAAGAGTCTGACACTCCCTCTCACCTTACTCCCTCATCTTAGTCCCCAAAACTTTGAGAAAGCGCTTGCAACTGCTCTGGTATAGCGAGTGTCCATGGGCATTGCCGAATGCTTACCATCAGGAAATATGTGTGCTCGATTACCAAACCTCGAAAACTTGTTACGTGATCGCTCAATACCAAAAACCACTCGCCAATTTTAGAGGTATATTTTTCTGGTGATAAAATTAAGAGAAGAGAAAGTGTCAGACTTTTAGTGACAAAAAAACCACCATGTTCCTGCTACTCCAGATCGAGGCTGTGGTGCCTCATTGCGCTTGACTCGCAACCCCAGCTAAATTTTAGAGGCAAAGACCAAAAAACACACACATAAAATCGCACTTAGTATATAAAATTTATAAAATAGAAGAATAGTTCAGCTTACCTCAGTGGCAAGTAATAAGGGCGCATGATGCAGGTCGGTGGCCGGCTGTAAGGGCGAGAGAGTGCCTTCGCCACCTCCCACCATCTCTATCCGACCGCCTTCAGCGCGCTGAAAAATTTACACAGACTATAACAGCCAAGCTTTACTTTGCAAAAAAAAACTATCGATCGTCAAAGAAAAAAATGGCTATAATGCTCAATGATAATCTTTTTTAAAATTCAAGTATTCTAACAATTAAGGGAAAAAACTTAATTAGTTTTTTTCAAGCTCATTATGTCTTGTATACTTCGAAGCTTATGTGCTTGCTTATATTGTTTCGGCATTTCTTCTCAACGTAGTCAGATAGAAAATGCCGGCTTCATCTAGTTTTTTACATATAATTTGGCGTGTAAAAGTGCCGTTTTATGGCCTATTTGCAAAAAAAATCATTGTACCATTTTTTTATTAAGTTATGAGCTCAAGGAAAATATGGCTAAATGTTTTTAATAGATGTTGTTACTCATTTTGCTCATGAATACGAGCCCCTGGTGTTGCTCGAAACGAAACGAGTCAAATTGATATTTTTTTCAAACCAACCTGGGAATTGGTGATGTAATGTGTGTGCGGATGTGGCGGCGACGCGAAGGGACCTCGGGGCGGAGGCGGCGGGGCGAAGCTCCCGTGGTACTGGAGCCCGGCGTACACGCCGCCCATCTATGGCCGATTTGGGTCAGTACGGTGCATAGAGAGGTGGATTTGCGAATTGGGAGGGGCACACAATGACTTGTATAACAATAAAATAAGTCCCTTTTCCGTCTGTCTGGCAGTTTTACAACATCTAGACTAATTTTTAGAAGTTAGGAATTTATAATCAACTTTATTTTGGTATAGACCAAGCGGACAAAACTGAAGCCACGTGGGAACTGGAGAAAATTAATGAATTCTCTTTTTCATTGCTATGATGACAAAAAAAGAGATCGTAGCTCGTTCTTGTCCTTTCGAATCTACACTTTGGAATGAGCACATAGTGTAAGGGCTTGAACCCTTACAGTTAATGTTGGATGTTAATAAAATAAATGTTAATGTTTAAAAAGGTATTTTAATACGAAAATGCACTAAAATAAAAAGAAATTAATTAAAAATGTTATAAAAAATGTTAAAATGTTAAATGTTGCGCGAGCTCGATATTATACCGAAGACTGGCCTACTTGAGTACGTGACTATCTTATATTTTATTATAAATTAACATAATTTGCAGTATTCTAACTAGGCCAAATCAAAGTACAATGTGCGGTTGCTTAACCGTACATCTTGGCGGGGCAAAAAATTAAGAAAACTTATAAAATATCCTATCAATGTAAATAAATTCATGTAAAACAAAATGTAAATAAAATTATAAAAATGTAAATAAAGTTATATGTTAAAAGAATGAGGTGTCGCGTAGGTAGATGCTGTAGCTCTTGGTGGTTTTTGGGGCGGTGATCTGATTGGCGTGTCGGCGGCGCTGACGGCGAGCTTGCCGCAGCGTTTGTAGTACACGTAGGCTCCTCCCGCGACGAATATGGACAGGATCAGAAGTCCCATCGTAGAGTACGAAACGATGTATTGATGGACATCGTGTTGCGACATTTCAGTCTGTTTGGTCTGATCTTCTAATTCTTTTAACGAATTATGAAGTTTTTCATAATCGTTTTTCACAAAATGCGTGTTATGTTGGCTTGTTGATAAGTCAAGCGGTTGTATCGATGTTAAATTGTTGATGTCATCCAGGTCTATCAATGGTATTTCCGGGTTGACATAAATTTTGTTCGTGTAATAAACTTGTGTGTAATATGTTTCTTCATTATTTCTAATTATGCATCCTTTTTTGGCTTCTAAAATTCCCGTTGACCGTATTGCCTTAGTGGTCATACGACCTTCACAGATGATCTGCAGTTGACAATCCGTGCAGCAGACATAGAGCCAGGTATTTGGTTTTGTAATGTTATCCATTTGTTGTTGCACGACTCGGATGTGTAGATACATTTTGATAATGTAATATTTGTTATTGCGCCGATTTCGCATGGAATTTGATGATTTCGCATGTTGCGTGTTGGTTTGTTCAGTGAGCATACATATGTCCTTGGTTCTATTTTAATACAATGTTCCAGGTCACTGTTTGTTAGCTGCATGTATGTCTCTTTTCTCACATTTACTGCAACATATTCTGAGTTAGTTTTCATTGTAATTGACTGGTTGTTATTTTTGATCATAGGAATGGGAATTGTTTTATATATAGTGAATGGGGTGTCGCCCGTTAGTGGTAATGTTATTTCGATGATGAAATACTTATCAAATAATCTAGATTTTACTTCAAGTAGTTTGTAAATATCGGCTAATTGGTTTTGAATGTTGTCAACGGGTAGCGATAATTGTTGTGGCAATTGTCCAGATATAATGTTAAGCTCCTGAAAGAGTTGGTTCTGCGGTAAAAGTCTGGTGTCTACATGACCATGGTGAATGTTAATAGCTGTGTCTAACAGCATCTGTTGTATGTGGCGGAGTTTGGACAGAATTGTTGAACTTGTCAGAGCCATGATGTTAAAGTAGTTCAGCGCTTCGTCTTGTTGAACAGCTTCGTTCAATTTCTTTAGATAGTTCTCTGTTGCATTAAGGTGTTGCTCTAATAGATTGAACTGAGAGTTCATTGCTTCTTCGTTTCTCTTTAAAATGTTATTGTGTGCCTCAATTATTGAGGTTTGACTTTTGATCAGATTTAATAAATGGTCTCTGTTGTTATGTAATGTTTCTATGTCCTTTTTATATTGTGTTGCGAACCTTTCATCTAGCACGCCGAATAGGCTGTTTGCAAGGTAACCTACTCCATCGACGAGGCCTCGGGTAACGCGCCCCCTGGTTTGCCCATGATGAGTTTCTAACATGTAGTTGTTATGATCTAGTTCATTGAGTTCCTGTTCGAATTCAGTCATAATTGTTTTGCACAGCGTTTGGTAAGCAAATTGCTCACATCTTTCTCCTAGGTGTTTCACAACTCTATGTATATTTTCCATGCCTTGCCAGTAAGTTGTCATGTTATAATAAGTTACTATCTTCCAGTCATCATGTACGGTTTGCAAATTGCCGATTTTGTCAAAATACACCCCTCTATTTGGTTCAAACGGCGTGACGTTTATGCCGTCACTGCTCTGCCTTGTGGGCTGAAATAATGTTAGCAATGTTACGAGGATACATAGCAGGCTGGAACTTATCTTGCTTGATTTAAAACGTTGTTTAGTATTATTTGTTACAGCCTTTTGTGGTTCACTGCAGCTTTTGTCATTGGAGGTGGTGGTGTCAGGTACTTCTATAGGAGAATTTGGTACTGGGAGTTTCACTAATTTTGTTATTGGTCTTGTTAGTAGTCCTGTTTTAGTTTTTAACGTCACTACTCTGACCAGATTGTCCTTCCCAGGGTGAACTTCCTGTATTCTGCCAAGTGCCCATTTCGCAGGAGGAAGGCAGTCTTCTTTAATTAAGACAATATCCCCTATTGATAAATTATTTGTTTTGTTAAGCCATTTACTACGAACTTGAAGTTGTTGCAGGTATTCTGATGACCATTTGCTCCAAAACCCTTGTTTCATTTTGTCTAACAACTGCCACCTATGTCGAATGTTGATGTTTTTATTTTCGATATTTTCCGTAGGTAAGAATGTTAAAGGTCGGCCAATTAAAAATGTGCAGGTGTAAGGTAATCAATATCGTCTACATCCTCTGTTAAGGGGCAAAGTGGTCTAGAGTTCATACAGGCTTCTATTTGCGTAAGAAGTGTTAGAAACTCTTCGTATGTCAACTTTTGCTCTCCTAGGACACGCTTTAGGTGATATTTCATAGACTTAACTGCAGCCTCCCAAAGTCCTCCCGCAGTCGGCCAGCTTGGGGCGTTGAAATGCCACTCTATCCCCATCTCGTTACACTTTTTCGATAAGGTGTCGTTGTTAAATGTTTGGGATATATGCAGTTGTTTGGCTAACTCCCTTTCGGCTCCAACAAAGTTTGTTCCGTTGTCCGAATAAATATGTTTTGGACAGCCTCGTCGCCCAATCATGCGGTTGAGAGCCAGTATAAATGTTTGCGATGATAAATCTGATGCAAGTTCTAAATGCACCGCCTTTGTTGTCATGCACACGAATACAACGACGTAACCTTTACTCGTTCTGACGCCCCGGCCCTTGTTTAATTTAACATTAACAAACCCTGTGAAGTCCACACCTGTGTGATAGAATGGTGGTGATTGTGTTATTCTCTCCCTGGGTAGGTCAGCCATTAATTGGTATTGTTTGGTTGGTTTGAAGCGACAACATTTAACACAGTCTTGCAGGTATTTTTTCACAGTGTTATTTCCTCCTGTGATCCAGTATTTCTGTCTCAATGTAGCCGTAGTTAGTCTCGCTCCACCATGTAGTGTTGTAGCATGCGCACGGGCAACTAAAAGATACGCCAGTTTGCTGTTTTTTGGGATGATAGCTGGGTGTTTTGTTTCTTCTGGTAAGTTTGAATTCTGTAGTCTCCCTCCGACCCGTAATATGTTATTTTTATCCAGGTAAGGGTACAGTTTCTGGAGTCCTATATTTTTGCTTATCCTTCCTTTAGTCTTTAATTCATGGATTTCTTGTTCGTAATATTCGTTTTGTACATGTTTTATTATTATGTTAGTAGCGCATCGAATATCAGAGAGTGTTAAATTACATTGTTTTGACGCGGCCGGGTCATTCATGTTTGGATGATCCATAGCTGCGTCTTCCCCGTGCCGACGGCCTTGCGACGTGATTGTTATGAAACGCGACACCCAAGCTACGATGCGTATTATAGTCATAATACAGCTGTTTTTGTTAAGTAGTTCAGTTACAAAGTTAATGTTTTTGTTTTCGGTAGTTTGTAACGTAACTGCATGCACCCTTTTTAGTTCTATTTCAGGCATCTTTATCGTGTCATGTGTTTCAGGAATGGTTTCACTGTTAAGCCATTCAGGTCCATTAAACCACAGAGGAAAGTTGTGCAACTGAGACGGCAGTAGTCCACGTGACGCACAGTCAGCCGGGTTTTGTTCCGATCTCACGTGCTTCCAACTCCCTGCGGGCACTACAGATATGATCTCTTGAACTCTGTGTCCGACGTAGGCTTTCCATCGCGAGACATCTCCCTTTAGCCAGCCAAGTACGATCATCGAGTCCGTCCAAGCTGTTACTTTAATGTTAGGCTTATCAAAGCAAAGTTTTATTTTATTTACCAGTTGAGCTAACAGGTGAGCGCCGCATAACTCAAGTCTGGGGAGTGTTTGATGTTTTTGTATTGGAGCGACCTTTGTTTTTGCCGCAACCAATGCAATCTGTTGCTGTTTTCCTTCAGTAATCTTACTGTATACTACGCACGAGAACGCTTTTTCTGATGCGTCACAAAATGCGTGTAATTCACAATTCTTGTTCGCTCTTAATCCAAGCCATCGGTTAATTTTGAAAGGTTGCATGTTTGTTAATTCTGTTTTTAATGTTCTCCATTCCTTTTCTATTTCATCTGGAACAGTATCATCCCATTCGATTTTGTACTTCCAGATCTGTTGGAATAAGATTTTTGCCTTGATTGTAATTGGCGATAATAACCCCAATGGATCAAAAATTGTTGATATGTCGCTTAAGATTTGCCGTTTGGACGACTTGTTGTTGGTTTCCGACTCG